ATGATGTGATGTTATGATGATGTGATGTTATGATGGTGTGATGTGATGTGTTATGATGTGATGTTATGATGATGTGATGTTATGATGGTGTTATATTATGTGATGTTATGATGATGTGATGTGTTATGATGTGATGTTATGATGGTGTTGTTATGATGTGATGTGATGTTTTGATGATGTGTTATGATGGTGTTGTTATGATGTGATGTTATGATGATGTGTTATGATGTGATGTTTTGATGGTGTGTTATGATGGTGTTATGTGATGATGTGATGTTATGATGATGCGTTATGATGTGATGTTATGATGATGCGTTATGATGTGATGTTATGATGATGCGTTATGATGATGTGATGTTATGATGATGTTATGTTATGATGTGATGATGATGTTATGATGATGTGATGTTATGATGATGTTATGTTATGATGTGATGATGATGTTATGATGATGTGATGAATGCAGTGTTTGTGTCTGTGTTCAGGGTTCGAGCCGTGGGCAGCATCAGCGACTCAGACGCCTTAGACTTCGACAGAATGAAACAGGTAAAGATGACCATCAACATACTATTATAGGTTTTATTCATATATTAAGAATTTAATTTTAGATTTTAATTTGAGTTAATAGTTTAGTTATTTAAGTGTGTTTTTGTCATTTTTAGTTGTTTATATATATATATATATATATATATATGTGTGTGTGTGTGTGTGTGTATGTCTATCTATATTATTTTTTTGATTTTCCATTTTTATTTTATATTTACTGAGAGTTTTAGTAATTTTCCTCTGTGATTTAGTAATTTATATATATGTGTGTGTGTGTGTCTGTTTATATATATATATATGTGTGTGTCAATAGCCAACAATACATTGTATGGGTCACAATTATACATTTCTCTTTTATGCCAAAAATCATTAGGATATTAAGTAAAGATCATGTTCCATGAAGATATTTAGTAAATCTCCTACCGTAAATATATCAAAACTTAATGTTTGATTAGTAATATGCATTGCTAAGAACTTCATTTGGACAACTTTAAAGATGATTTTCTCAATATTTAGATTTTTTTGCACCCTCAGATTCCAGATTTTCAAATATTGTCCGATCCTAACAAACCATACATCAATGGAAATATTAATTTTGGTTTCAGTTTTAGTTGACTATAATAACCCTGTTTGAATTGCTTGAATTGATGTTTTAATTGACAGGAAATCTTGGAAGAAGTGGTTCGTGAACTGCACAAGTTAATTTTGGTTTCAGTTTTAGTTGACTATAATAATCCTGTTTGAATTGCTTGAATTGATGTTTTAATTGACAGGAAATCTTGGAAGAAGTGGTTCGTGAACTGCACAAGGTGAAGGACGAGATCATTGATGGTATGTTGTGCTGTGCATCTTGAATGCGGTGTACGTTGCTTTGGATAAACGCAGCAGCCAAATGCATAACACCTGACAGTCTGTAGTGTATGTTCTGTATTGGGTAATGCACTCGAGTGACTGCGTTCTGCTTTATTTCCAGCCATTAGACATGAGCTCAGCAGAATCAGCACCACATAGTGTCCATCTCCTCCGAGAGCCCAAGCTGTAGCCACGAGAGCCGGACGTTACCGCCGTATTAAAGCACACGGACTCACGGCGTGCTGGTTTTAACACGTCTGCAACGTCGAGGAGCGGTTGATGAAGCAGGGACACTTACACTGATCTTACTGTTCCTGGTGTACACTGATTCTAGCGGCAGTCTTTTGCAGAAACTGAAGAAAATAGAACAAACATCTGGAGTCCTTTTATGTTGTCTGCATCATCATCATCATTATTATTATTATTATTATTATTATTATAGGTGTAGTTGTAGTGTTTTCATGTAGGTAGACATAGGAATTGATAATAATAATAATAATATCATTGCACATCACATTTTCATTTTCCTTAAGATTCATCATGAGCACATTCCTCTTGTTTTTTAAGAGTTTTCTCCTTTTTGCCATGATGTGTTGATCTGAAGGAGGGGTTTAAACACGTCTGAAGTATTTGTGATCATGTTGTTAATCGAGTGTTTATCGGCTGCGAGGACATGAAGTATTGTTCTGTTTTATGATTTCTGTTTTTGACCAAGTGCTTCCCGGTTTGAAAAAAATAACAATAATAATAATAAAAGATATACATGCTGTGTTGGATGTGCAGAGAATAATGTCTCGACAGGAACACGTGGATTTATTTTCAGAAAAACCCCAGAATAGCTTATTATCATCATGATTGTATTTTAATAGCAAGTCTGTAATATTTTAATTTGATGTGATATTTAACATTATTAATACACAATGCAAATGTTAATTACAGGAGTTTCTCAGTTTAGAAATGCTATTTATATTTATTTTTAAATATTCAAACAGCTTACCATATATGTGTAATACTAATAATATTTAAATTTTAAATTATTAATGTAATTTTAAATAACATCCTAAGCACAATTAGAAAGAAAAACCCCCATGCATCAAGGGAAAGCTCATTATTCAGCTTTCAGATGATGCATAAATATAAATAAAGCTCATGGCTGGTCATCGGCTCTCCTCTCGCGAGATCTGCCAGCGGAGCGTCGTGGCGACGTGAATTCAATGTGTTGCGGGATTTGGCTACTGTAACATTGGTTGAAGCGATATTTACTAGCGACGGCGAAGTGAAGCGTTCTGAACACTGTTTTATCGGATAAAGGAAGCTTCTCAACACGGTTTGTTCTGTCGCCATCTAGCGGCCAGTAACATGAATACTCACGTGGTTTTCAGGCGAACGAAGCGTGGGACGTCATAGATCACGTGCTTCTGGCTAAACGAATCAGCGCTTTAATGTGAGATGTGTTGTTTTTTTTGATAGCTTTGGTGTTGAACATAACAGCCCTCATGTTTAGCCCCTGCGACGCGACTCGTGCCAAGTGAATCTGACCCCCCAGAACGCGATCTTTACTGGGGGAGCCCCCTCGGAGCAGCAGTTGGGCGGGTTTTATCGTGGAGACCTGGCAACCCTGCAGTGGAGAGTTATCTGTGTTATCGGAGTGTGTGAGAGAGAGAGAGCGCGTCGCACACAGCGGACTCGGCGAACATGGCATCCGGCGAGACGCTGTACATCGAGGCGGACGGCTCGGAGATGCCCGCGGGGCTCGTGGAGCTGCACGAGATCGAGGTGGAGACCATCGAGACCACGGTGATGGACGACGACGAGCAGCAGCCCATGATCGCGCTGCAGCCGCTGCTCACAGACGACCCGAGCCAGCTCCACCAGCACCAGGAGGTGATCCTGGTCCAGACCCGCGAGGAGGTGGTCGGCGGCGACGAGTCGGAGCTCCAGGAGGACGACGGCTTCGAGGAGCGGATCCTCATCCCGGTGCCCGCCGAGGAGCACTACATCGGGCAGACGCTGCTGACAGTCGCCGGCAGGAGCTCCGCGGGGCGGCTGGGGAAGAGAGCGGCGTCGGGGGGCAAGAAAGCGGGCAAGAAGAGCTACCTGAGCGCGGCGGAGGCCTGCGGGAGGAAATGGGAGCAGAAGCAGGTGCAGATCAAGACTCTGGAGGGCGAGTTCTCCGTCACGATGTGGGCTTCGGGTGAGTGTCTCAGGGCGTTGTCCGCTCCGCGCTCGGCTCTTCGCACCGTGTTTATGTTTTGAACGGAGGCCATGTTTTGGGCTGTCTATGGGCGCCGCCATGTTCCCCGAGTCCAGTATGGCGGCCCTGGAAAGATGGCGACGGCGCGGCGGATTGGAGATGGCGCGAGAGCGCTGCCGCGTGTAGGCCGCTAGGCGAGAGCGACCGTTAAAAACCGTTAAACGCGGGTTTTGAATTTCGGCTTCAAAGCGGGAAGCTATCGCGCGCCACTTTGGATTTAAATATCCGTCAAGGTGACTCTTATTTATTTTAATCTAGCGTTTGGAACTGTTGTTGTCTATTAAAGCGGTACACCGTGTCCTAACTAACCGCGACGCGACACGCACAATTTCTATTTTAGAAACGGTTTCTATTTCCGCGACATCGCGGCTGGATCACCGTGATGATCTCAGGTACTGGTTATGTGCTGTATTCAATGCTAAAAGTGAGTTTGAGTATCTTTTTGCCAGACATTTATAGCCGTACTGAAAGCAGCAGCAGATAGTTTACCTCAGATGTTAAAAATAAATTAAAACAAATATGTACATACAACTGCGAGCCAACAAGCGTATCCCACAACAAAGAGAGTATCAGTCACTCAATATGTACATTTATGTAGTTATAATGTTAAAATGTTTAATATTTATGAATTGGATCAGTTCCAGTTCGTT